CTGTGCCTTAACTAAAATGAAAATTTCTTTCTTCTAAGCAAAATGCCTTAAAGGCTGATATCCTTGATAAATTTTGAGGTACAATTTGTCTTTATTATTATTATCATTGCCGAGGTGCAATTGGAGTATTTGATGCTCGGTTATATTCAACTGTTTATATTTTAAATGTCTTCCTGTCGTACAAGTATGTTTATTTGTTCTGGAAAAAAGAAAGCAAGACACGTGATTCTATTTCTAATTTTATTTACGGGGGTACAGAGAGGTAGACAAAATAAGTTGCATTTGTCATCACAAAACTAGTTCGAACATTCTTTTTGGTTCTTCAAGGCTGAGAAAAATGCATGTTAAAAAACAAAAACAAAAACAAAAACAAAACTAATTATTCTCAGATGATTAATTTATAACATGTCAATCTTAGAAACATACAATTACTCATGCATGTCAACTCTGGGTCTCCTGATTGGCCCCCAATCACATATACAAATAATACAAATAATAATAATACAAATAATAATAATAATAATAATAATAATAATTATATATCTGAATAAATATTGACTTTATTTTCGGTTGATCTGTCTTTTTGACCTTGAATTTTCTCTTTTAATTTTCAATGCAGCCAAAAGTGACAATTTTTGAATTCTTCTTTTTTTCAGGTTTGTTTTTTCGAAAGAATGTAGGAATGAAAAGGTAATGCAAGAGTCATTCTCCTAGGATTTGAAAACACTATTGAAAGCATTTTGTTTGGTTTATTTAACTTGACACCAACGACCGCCTAATCGCTATTAGGAACCCTACGAGGAACGATTTCGTATGTCGCCTGTTGCAGGAAGCAGTATGCTCATTTTTCTATACCACTCGCGTAGTTATTCCTGTTTTCGACCGTTGACAGTAATGAGACCTCATTAGGAGGGGAGGGGGAGAAGGGACTGAGTATCCTATGGCTCAATAACTGTTGGCCTAAATATCCCGTAGCCGTCAATTCAAATTAAATACAAATTCAATTTTCCTGCTCGATACTTCTTGATATCTGTGCTAAATATTCTATATCATATACTTTATCCTTTAACTCTCAGAAGATTTACTCAAAGAGGCTGAAACTTTCAGTAGCTGCTCGTTCATTCTCTGCTAAAATATTCGTATGTCAATTGTGTGGCGATCATTTTTGACGTTGCCATGGCAACCATCAAATTCCATGTCATATACAAAACATTTGCCTTTGCCTCTTCATTGGGTGCAATCAAGCGAATACGACATCATACACCTTTATTATGTTAATTAATGTATATGATAGC